CCAGCGCGACGAGCTGAGTTGATTTAGTCATGCTCAGACAGACGAGCCTGTCCTCCTGTCTGTCTGTATATACGCTAACTAATTCCTAAATTTTGAGAAATCGATCTGAAATTTTTCACACGTCCTTTTCTCCCCAAGAAGTAGCTCATTTGTCGGAATCGCCGATATTGGACCATTATAGCATATAGAATCTGACGTATAGAAAAAAAAATTCTTGAATAGAAATTTTATTTATTTATGAAGGGTATTATAGTTTCGGTTTAAACGAAGTTTTTGTTTAAATTTTACTTCCTTCAGATTTTTTTTTACAACTAATCGCAGTTCAAAACAAAGCATAATTGCAATTGTCTATCGCTCATCATTAACACTGCTCCTTGTCTAAAACAAAATTTAAAATTAAAATTTGTTTGCTAACTAAACTCTTACCTTAATTACGCTTCGTGGCTTGTGTATAACAACTGTTCAATTCCACTATTTACTCTCTTACACTTGAAAAATTTAATATTTCACAGGTGTTCAGTTCAAATATAATTAACATTTCTTCTATTGCCCCGCAGTCGCTGCGTTCACTTCAGCCACAACATTTGCCAGTGCCCGAATATTCACTCAAATCGGCTGCGGCCTCGTCCACCTCTTCGCAAGAAGACACTATGAATGATCTGATATCATTGGATGACAGCAACAACACCAGCTTCGATTTGGAAGATTTCGATCCACTAAATCAGAATGCACGCCCGCTGCCGTTGCGTAATGGCAATGTGACTGTAAAGAACGCAAAAACGAATGGCTTGAAGTCCACCACATTGCCTGCCAACACCAATACTAAAACCAATATTCTGGGCCACACTTCCGCTAACACCGTAAGCAATCCGCTATATCCGTATCACACGCCGCAGCATCTAAGATCGCCACACATGCGCGCACAGCCACAAACGCGTGCGTTGACCTCGGCGCAATTAAAGGCGCCCACAATGAAGCCACCACCTTTGCCTACCAGCAAACCGCCACCAATGCCAGCACCAGACGAGGACTTCGAGCTGTTGCGTAAGTATGGCCTGGATCAGTTCACATTGACGACAGCGCCCCACACACTAACAACAACAGCAACAACGACGGCGGCAAATGTAAATGGCAGTAGTAGTAATGGCGGCGCCAACACGGCTGCCCTTGCCGGCGGTGGCATGCACAATTGGACCACATTCGATTGAGCGGCGGCGGCTGTCGTGTGACGTCGGAGTTGCGAGCTCTATTTTCGTGGTGAATGTTAGCAGTTAAAGTATGTTTCTACTATATTTAATAATTACTGTAAATTTTAATGTAAAAAACAGCAACAACAAAATAATGCATTCGTGTACATACCAGTTTATTGCTTTATACGTTATCGTTGTGAGATCACATTAGTGTAATTATATATATATATATATTTAAATAGTGTATGTATGTATTTAGATTTGTCGAAAATACAGATGGAAATGCGTAGCGCATAAATTAATAAATATTTTGTAATATAATATTAGTGATGTGCACATGCATAAAACGATATATATTTTGTAATAACTGTAAATGTGCGACTGCGTAAGATATACATATGTATGTATTTAGATACAAAAGCGCTGTGATGATTGGCAAAACACAATAGCAACAACAACAAAAGATGAAAATAATATAGATACATTTGTATGAGTAAATGGCGCAGATTAAATCATTTTTAAGATTAATATTTATAATACGCTAATTTAGGTTGTATATAACGTCTAATTGTGTACCAGTAGGCAACTTATATGGCAGAGTCTTCAAAAAAGGGAAGGATCTGTAGTTCTATCTGAACCAGCATTAAATAAAGCGATTTCTTTCGATTTTATTTAAAAAATTTTGCGATTGTAGCTCTATCCGCGTTGCAGGCGTAACAGAAACAAATATATATAATGGTTCTGGTGATATATACTCATATAAACAGAGTTCACTAACTCGACTACATTTTTTTTTTAAATATATGCTCAAAATACATACGGTTATGAAATTTAAACCTGTTAATACAAATGATTTAATAGCCTAGGCACAGAATCGTGAAAAATATGCAAAATCTTGTAAAAAATCTGTATAATTTCAATATCCTAATCTAGATTTCATTATTGTGTGATTCACATATTTATATTTGACAAAGTTTTATATTGGCTTTCCCTTCAAAACATTCTTATCTCTATAAGGCTCATAAAATATCCTTTCATTTCTTAACTTCCAAATTAAATAAGGAATGAAATCGAGAAATTAATTCTGATGCCACCTAACTATTAATATCATTCAAACTTAGTTTTCGTCCCGGAAAATCAACTACCGTTTATATCACCCGTTAATTAACCGAGAGCGCTAAAAGAGACTTCTGTTAAGGTTTCTATGAGTTTCCGGAGGCCGAGTTGGCAAATTTTTCTATGTTTTGGAGTTTTGGGAACGTGATTTACTGGCATATTGGGTTTGAGCAAAATCAGTTTATAAAATATGGACGTCAGCAATGCCATCTAGCGTTTTTAACAGCATATAATAGCATAATCATGCCCATGTTAAAATTCAATCGATATCATTTTATATTTAATTTTTTTGTAAATTCAGAAATTTTTATACCATACTTTTCGGCGTGTGTTGAAGAAATTCTAATATAAAGCGTAAAATAATTAAAACAGAAAAATTTCCTTTTTTTCATTTTACGTCAATAAATAATTTAAATAGCTTGCAATATCTTATGGCATTTAGTTTGATTGTTTTACGAATGTGAAATGAAGCGTTTTGAAAACATTAAGGTTTATGCCCAGAAGGGTCGCGATATATTGAACTGACCTTAAAAACTGCTTTTTATCATTACAGTTTAAAAAGTAAAAGTAATAATTTCCCATCCTTTTAAAAATTAAAAAAAAAAATTCCCAACCTTTTAAAAATTAAAAAAAAAAAATTCCCAACCGTTTAAAAATCTAAAAAAAAATTAAAATAATGGGCTCTTTTTTTTACCCAAAACTCGTAAATCTTTGAAAAGATTAACTGCAATTTCTTTCATTTCCGACAAAATAGATCCAATCGAAATTTGAAATTTATTTGTGATAATATTTTGCAAAAACTAAAAAATATGCATCCGAAAAGGTTCAAAAACCATACTTTTCACAAAAATTACTAGTATATAAAAAATAATATAAAGCAAAATCGAAAGGAATCACACAAAAAAAAATTTGAGGTTAGGTTTGCTAACTAAAATATATCAGAAAAATTATTATATATAAAATATTCAAATATAATTCGAAAATATAAGGGAAGAACCGCATGATTTGCAGTTTCACATTAATCACATGAAAGTCTCCACAACAATTTAAAACCAATAATCGATAGTAGTAGTTTGATCAACCACACCTGTATTTAATTGTAAATATATTAGTATGCATTTAGTGAACAACGAGCGAAGCCCAAGCTGTAATTTGGTGTAATTTTGCATTTTTTCGTAAATTTTAAAATCAAAACATAAACATACAACAAGAAGATGTTTACGAAATACTTGAAAAGACTATAAACAAAAGACACGTTGAAAAATGATTTCAAGAAAACAAAATCAAAACAAATAGCAAATAGTAGTATTTTTAAAAGGTACATACAAATATTATATATACCTGATACAAAAGCCTATTAATGCAATGTTTTTGCTACGTAAATAGTGCAAAAAACAGCCTTTGTGCATTGGAGAGGATATTTGGGCGTGTATGTGAAGAGTTTCAGCAATAATAAAATATATGTATTTAAGTAATGTAGATATGCAGAAATATTATGTAATACTTATGTAGTTACTCATAAGCTTTTAATGGCGCATAAAGATTCCGTGTACTCAATGAATTTTAATACTAAACAGCGTTTTGAATTTATTTTAAACATAAAGCACTAATATTTTGCATAATTTAAAGATATTCGTTTTCAAGCTAATATACGCTGTTCGTAATTATTGTAAATATATTTAATGTAAATAATATTAAGTAAAATATTTTCATTTAAGATAAATCAATAAAACAACAGATAATTAAGTATTTTATTCGTTTTGTGCGTTATATGGCAGCAAAATTTGAATTCACTTCAAAATTTTGAAACTTTCTCTTGAATATTTTTAAAGAGATCGATTGGTGTTCTACAGTGCGAACCAAAGATCTTTTTATAGTACAAGCTTTTAAAATTCAGATAAAAGTTGTAACAAACGAAAATGAAGTCGTTTATATCAGATCATTGTTTACTTTGGCTGCTCTGAATTTCCACCAGCCACATTGGTGAATAGGCGACAGAGGGTGTTATAGTTAACTTTAGTTTTAGGATATATCTGAACGAAAATATTTCCTTCGGGCAAAGTGGGGGCTAGTCAGTGGGGCGATGATTTCATCTTACGTAGAGCCGTAAAAATCCTGTAGCGCTGGAGCAAAAAAGTTCTCTAGCATGGCAGTAATCCGCTCTGTATTCAGTATAACAAAGAGCGCAGATTGGTACGTACTAGACTCTGAAAGGGCATAGATCGCACCGAGCGAGCGAGGGATTTATATGTGGCGGGCAATACCGGCGGGGGCAGAGTTCGAAAACAAAAAAAAAATCCAGGAAATTAGCATGATTGAGGTAACTGACATTCCGAATATATCAATGGCATGTCTTGGTGATTCGTTTATGAAAATTGGGCGATGCGAAAACTGTGTCACTCACAAATAAGGCAATGTACTATGGCTCAAAATATTGAAAATGATGGCAAATTTGATTCGAATTATTTCGGTATTCTCCGACACTAGCTCCAGCGACTTTTTCTATCCTCAGATCTTAAGAAAATGGTCGTTGGAAAGAAATACCCTAGACTGAATACTATTTTGAAGCAAAAAACCAATCGTACTAGAAGAACTTAACCGAAGTGTTGGAAGAGCACTAATCGAATTTCATTAAGAAAATGTGTTATTTTTAACAAATTTGTCTTCCCACAATAAATTTTACATTATACTATATGTTTTTAACTACAAAAAGAAAATATTTATTAATAAAATTTAACAAAAATGTTTACATAAACTTAAAAGTATGAGTTCAACAATAAATTCCAGTAGGGTATAACATTAATTTATGAATTAACACTTATACATATGTATGTTTGTGCATATGTTTAGTCGTATTCAATATTGCTCTCCGTTTTAACTTTGTTCTCTCGCATGCAATTCTTTATGCGATCGCGTAGCACCTTCGCACCTTTTATATTCACCACTTCATGTGAGGGCAATAAAGCTTTCATACGCTCCATCCACGCTTGAAGTCGCGGAAATCTATGCGAACGAAAGTAATTGATGAATTGAATTGATAAATGGTAAGAATAATTGTGTACATTGTGTTACGAGTATCTCTTACCGATTCTTATCGACTGGTATGAGCATATCGAGCGAAACTAGCGTTGTGTTGATGGAGACATCGGCAATGGTGACTGTCTCGCTGTTTCCAAAAAAATTTGTTTTACCAAGGAAGGCCTCCAAAAAAGTATAAGCATTGTCGCAGAGCTCTAGAGTTATTTTGTTGAATTCGCCTTCGCCTCCATAGATATTGCGACGCTATAAATGAAAGTTGATAAAAATAATAATTATTGAAGTGTCATATGTGGTCATGTCAAGTGCTATAAATACTTTTAGAAAATATGTAGTTTAAAGATTATTTTTGTGAAAAAAATACAGATTTTCACTTATTTAGCTTAAGTCAGGGGTTTTTAAACATTTTTTGCACAAGTGATAACGATAAATATTTTGAAATATTTTCATGTTTATGCTTGTTCTTATACTTTCAAGAATCGGTTAAAAGGAAGTTCGAGAAAATCGCAACAGGTCGCTCTGATCTGACAAAAAGGCTTATTGTGCTCATTATTTTGTATGAGTGATTTTATACTATTTTTTATGCACTATTTCTCCCAATTCCATTATGAAAAAAATTAACATATTTTTATTGTATTTAACTTCGCTAAATATTTCTCTTATTATCCGTATGACAGGGCCGCGATATTTTACTGATTATATTTGTTATATGGCAGCTGAGAAAAGCATTTCCCACATTCTGGTAACATTTTACTACAGAGCAGAAGTCTTCTATGTTCTTAAACTGTATAGTTTTCCTTTGCTGTAGCAGTACAAATAAATCAAGCTTGTATACAAAATAACGTTACATAGAAAATAAGTGTGGTTATATTGCAAACGTATCAACTTTCAAGATGAAATATTATCTGATTTAGCTGGTTTGTCATACCTAACTAAAGATACGCGAAAATGAGAGATCCAATTTTCGAATGGAATTTGAAATCCTAGATTAATTTGTTTACTTGGGGATCTGTAATTAAGTCAACAACAGATTATGTACTGTAAATTTATTGGAGAAATATAATTTATCAAGCTTCCGAAAACAGTTTGGGTAACACTTGGACGACATTAACTATGCATTACTAAACATTACCCAGTATACTTGTATGACATACTTACCACCATATCTTTGATTACTTGAAAGAGTACGCCATTTTCAAAATGAAGCATATGATCGACGCGTGCCCGTTTTTTTAAATCCTTGGGATACATATCATCGTTCTTGCCATATTTAGATATCATGTATCCCATAATCGCATGGCTATATACACATGTATGCAAAGGAGTATGTAAAGTAAATTAATAAATTATAGTTTCTTTATAGTTGAGTAAGCTTTTTATTTAAATAAAGTTCAAAAGGTAAGTTCTCTGCATATTAATAAAATATGAAATAATATAAAAAAGTTTGAGAAACCCACATTTTACTAAACAGTTGCGAACAAAGTAGTTAAGCTACTAACGCTCAGAAATTAAGAATTCTTTCACTTTGTTTGCCATGTTTGAAATTTATATGCACTTTCTCTTGCATTCAGTGTCCACTTAGTATAAGTAATAATCAGTTCAGTAGTTGCCTTCGCTTATTAACATTATAGTGGAAAGCTGAAAGAAATCATATTGCGGTGATTGCTTTATAGAAGTGTGGAAAAAAGGCAGGTAAAATGTATGAGCTCTCCAAAAAACATAATATCTTGAGCATGTTTTTTTCCAAACGTCTACAGTTGACGACAGAAAAAGAAGTCCTCGCGTGGGTCGAACCAATTCAGCCATAAGAACTGTTCCCGAGCGCATTCGCAAAAATCCCCTTAGAAAACCGAAAATCTTTGTCAAGGGAAATGAATATATCGACCAGATCAATGTCAAAACTTATTCGAGTTAATTTTCATATGGAAGCCTTCAGCTTCTTCAGTGGCACGTGGTCAACGGCCATGAATGTATCCTTTTGACAGATGAAAATAATTTACTGTTGAAGAAGTTTTTAATAAGCAAAACGACAAACATACGCAAATACATCCAAAGGCGCAAAATACGCTACTCCAAGAGTTCAACGTGGTCACCACACAGCTGTTGAAATGGTTTGGTGAGGACTCTATGTAAAGGCGGTACACCGCTATACTTTTAAGAAAAAGGGGTTCAAACTGGGGTAAAAATGTACTAACACGTTGTTTTAAAAGACATGGTAAAGCAGTTAAGCAATACTCTTTTCGATGGAGAACATTGGATCTTCCAGAAAGATTCTGATCCAGCATACAAGTCAAAAAGCACCCAACAGTAGTTTAAAACAATATTCCTGATTTCATAGCTGCAGATGATTGGTCGTCTGGAAGTCCAGATTTGAATCCATTGGACTACGGTTTGTGCTCTGAGTTGGAGAACATGCCTGTCCAACTCAGATTTAGAGAGTCTTAATGAATCTTTGTTTCGAACAGCGTCATCAATACCAATCGAAACTGTGCGTGCTGCTATTGATTTGTGGGAAAGCAAAAGGTGACCATTTCGAATAAAATTTTGAACATCGCTCAATTGATATATACATTATTAAATAAAATGAGATTTTTTCAGTTTAAATATTTATAACGGTCTGAACTTGTAACAGAACTTATGGCAGAACTAAGTGTACCACATTTAGGGTCTAATGTATGCCACAGAATTTAATAATTCGCAAATGTTTTGAGAAGAGTTCATTTACAAGCTCGAATAACTTTTAAAGCCCACGCATATATGTTGCCATTTTGTTTTAAGAGTTTACTTATATACAGTTTGTTTTTTATATCGTTAAAAGTTGCCAGATTCTACCAGAATTTGTCTGAAAGTGTTTCTGTACACGGTTCTTTGGATAAAGGGGGATGAAGAGAGTGCTTACTCTCAGTCAGTAGTTAAAACCTTTTAAGTACTGCGGGGTAAATGGTCAAGTTATTAATGTCTACAAATATTACGTGGCAGTATGTTAAAATAGGTAGATATTTTGTTTTCAGGAAGAAGTTGTGCATATCTTTATTTCAACCAAATTTTAAGCTACTTTTAAATATAAGTTGTTAAAGTTTAAAATAAATGACTAGTCTCAAAAAAATCTGTAAGATAAGCACAAATTTTTCTTAAATCGACTTAAGTTACTTTAATGTATTTTTATACTTTTATATTTACTTGTAAATAATTTGTTTTGTTTGTGAAAATGTATAATGCCACAAAGCTATAAATGTAAATACTTGTAATATGGATTTGAAACATGAAAATCATAAATAAACACGTTGTTGTATGTATTTATGTGTAATGATGATGTACGGCCAGGCATTGCAATATAAATAAAAAATAAATGTTTTTGAAAAAAATTCCGAATTTTTCGCTTTACTATTTTGTTTTCATGCTTAAAGCGTAGTACCGATTTTTACAAACAATTTCGCTAAAATAGACCGAAATAAATCCAGACGAGCGCCAGTCAGCGAACAATATTTTATATGCGTAGATGTTGCAAACACATATACAAGTATATATGTACAAACATAGATATGTTATGTGTGATTATGTAAGAGAATATGTATATACGTACTTAAATTTTTCAAATTTCTTTCATTACCTGTCTATGAAGACCTCATTGTCGTCCTCCACAAACACCGGTATTTGATGCTGCGGATTTAGCTACAACAAATTCAAAAAAAAAAAGAATAGGAATCATACACAAGAAATTTCTACAAAACCATGGCAAAAACTTACTGCCAGATAATCCGGTGTGAGATGCTGTTTCGCCGCAAAATCCACCAACCTTTCAATAACAAATTATAAATGAAACACAAAGTATTAAATAATCAGCACAAACACGGCACTTGTAAAATATTACATTGTAAAATAACTCACTTCAAATCTAAATCGAGTCCAATTAACTCGGCGGTTAGCATACAAGCCCGCGCCGGTGGGCTAAATAGTGAATAATACAATTTTGGTTTGGACATCATGCACTTGTTTTGGTTTTGTTTGCTTTGGAGCACTTTCTAGATTTAATCAAATCGAAATGTTTGTCTTTATTTATACCAGTTCCACTCGCGGACTAGCAGCAATAACTAGTCAGATGGAAAACAGCTGTTAGCGTTAAGAGGAATATGCTGTTGTGGTGTAAATAAATCGAAAAGAAAATGATGCACACATATACATATGTGAAATCAAATGTACATATATATATACCTGTATATATTCTAATTATGTATATTTGCTTGTATGCGTGGAAACTGTGTGATTTGATTTTCAAAACAGTTTGTTAGTTACTGTAGTGCTTACGTTATTTTTGACACAAACGTAAGTGTTAATTTAAAAACTCATAATTGATATACTATAAAATAATTTTATATATATAAAGTTATGGTCAAAATATTAGGGTCACTTTTTTGAAGAATAAATTTTGTTAAATTATTTGGGAGTTGGGCGTTTAAGTTGAAAAAAATGTGTATGTAAGATCATCGCAAAAGGTTAGAATGCTGACCTATTGTCATAGAAGCCAACGCTAATTGTTCTAAAAATCTCACGAAGACTGGTCACAAAATAAATTTAAGTGGGAAATGACAGGAAAATATTTGTAAAACCTCTCAAAAATTCCTTCACCTTTTGCTGAGTGGAAAATGCCTTTAAAATAATAATTATATAATTATTTTATAAAAGCAAGACAATGGCCCCAAAAACAACTGCGATTTAGCTTAAAAGTTAAAGAATGAGAATAAAGTTGAAGTTATGGACTGGTTTGGGCAATCTTCAGACTTTAATCCTATAGAAAATTTGTGGAAAGCGTTCAAAGAGCGCGTAGCCCCATAGAAAAGTATAAAAAATCCAAAAACAATTCTGGATAATCGACCCGGCAAAAGAGATGTTAGGATTTAATAGATTCTATGTCCAAACGCTGCATAGACATAATTGCTAATACATGATATTTTACTAAATATTAATTTTAAATTTTATTTTAAACATACTTAGTTTAAATTTGTTCTGTCCTTTTTTGAACGATTTTTTAATTTAAATTTAAAATTTCTTTCACATTTGCAATGAAGACTAAGATGAAATATAGTATTTGAATTATTTCCCTTCAACAGTTGTTTTTATTGGTATTTGAAAAATCTAAATTAGGTAACTCTATTGTTTTGTCCATAACTGTATATATTAATAAAAATTCGAAAATCATTTGATATATATGATATACGAGTTAAAAAACGAATTTCTCTTAGAAGTACCCAAAAATCAGCTATTTAAGTTTTTTTTCAACATTTTTAAATTTTTTACTAAATTTTTGTAGATATTGAACTTTATAAATCTCCTCAATAAGCAATAAATCTCATTTACAAAAACTTAATTTGCAACAATATCAAATAAAAATATTAAAGTTTCTAAATATGTCAGCATACTGGGGCGTATGAGCGATTTAATGTGAGCCACTAGAATGAAATCCATCAGGTATTTTATTATGCATGATAGGATGTCCAAAAGAAGCGGTTACTGACAGAAACATCAAAGAGTCAACAAAATGATTGTGAATGAGCGTAAGTTGAACAAGAAAGCTGACGTTATAAAGGTATCAGAGGAAAGTGGTGAATATAACATTCATGAACATTTTGATAGGCGATAGTTCCATGCATAGTGGATGCAACGTGAAGTTTATCACCAAGACAATGTACTGTATCACAAATCAATCAATTCGATGTAAAACTGAATTGATCTTTGCAGATATATTGACAATTTTTATCACTTTAATCGCAATTTAATCTCTTGATTCTGCTTCTTGTATAATAGTTTTGTACGCCTAATGGACGTTTGTGACATCTTAAACTATTAAAAAAAGATATAGAGTTATGTAAAGATATCAAGACAATCAGATGACGCGACGAAATGAACCTGGATTTTTGTCAAACCATCTATAAAGAAAACACGCCAGGGATGCATGTAAATATGTATTGAAATTTAGCAACGGGCGGAGAACCGCCTTTTCTATGGTGAAATCTCATATATCAGGAACCATTTAACCAATTCAAATCATCAATTGGTGCTTAATATTTCTCTAACATGTTTTATTACGATATGAAAGTAAGAAAATTCGAACTTTGACCACGCCTACTTCCCATATAATAAGTTTTGGGCTCCATCGGATTCTTTCACTTTAACTATATTATATAAACTAAGCACCAATGAAGACATCGGGGCAAAACTTTGTAACAATAATGCCTTCAAAGTATGCCACCTTTACCTAAAAAGTGTCAAAATTACCATATATTTTCAAGCCTTCAGACCTCCCTGCCTACGCTAACTTTATATCGAAAATATTTGTCAATCTATTAATGAAATACACAGAGTACGTTTTCCTAATAATACTTCATTCCGTATACATCGATCATTGTGTGAGCCATCTTATGATAATAATAATGATAACCCAACGATTACCCTCCTCCCGCCCAACCGACGCGAGGGGCGCAATTCGCATACGTGCGGAATTAGCCGAGTCAAAAAAGGCAAGAGAGTTTTTTAAGTGTTGAGATCCAAAACTGCTCAGCTAAAGAAACAAAAATTTCAACAGCTAAGATTTATAGCTACGATATAATAAATTGTTTTATTTATTTTTTTATTAAGAGAAAGCAAAATAAACTCTTTTTAATTTTGAAAAGCGAGTCAGATAAGTCAAATGCGCAGGAATGAGAATAAAAATCATGACATATACGGCGGAATGGCTCGTTTAGTTCAAAATTTGATCTACAGGATTTTAACAGTAAAGGTCTAAACTGCCTCGAAAAGCGAAACGGGATATTAAATATAATTTCAGACAGGAGAAAAGAACTTTAAACTGTTCCATTCAAGATTTTCACTAAGAATATTATGCCAAGCATTTCCCTACGACTAGAAAGTGTAGGTAGATTTATAAGTTTTAAACGACGAGTGTATGGAGGTAGAATTACGCTAGAATCCCATCGGAAATGCCCTAAGGTGAAAAGTAAAAATTGTTTTTGAACAGACTCTAACTTGTCAGAATGGATTTGGTAGTTAGGGTTCCATACAACAGGGCCATATTCCAATATAGGTCTAACTAAAGTTGTATAAAGTGTTTTAGTAATATACGGATCTCTAAATTCTTTAGATCAGCGTTTAACAAAACTGAGGACACCTTTTGCTTTAAAGGCCATGGTATCAATATGAAGACTAAAATTGAGCTTAGGGTCCATATTAATTACCAAATCGACATAGTTAAAAACTTGCTCTAGACTATGGTTTTTTATTACATAAAGAGAGCGGTGTACAGATCTACGGCAAAAGCACATCGTCTTACATTTATTGAGATTCAATGGCAAATTATTTCCATGATACCATGCAACCAAATTGTTTAAGTCTGTTTGCAACAGACACATTTCCTCAGTTGAAGTGTATGATTTAAAAAGCTTTACGTCGTCGGCATATAGTAATATTTTTGAGAATTCTGTTACAGAAGAGATATCGTTAATAAACAACAAAAACAGAATCGGGATGACTACATTGCGAAAACCTGAAGAGACATTATTGTATCTGAAAGAGTATCCTCAAATATCTCTCGTTATATAAAATAAGAATTGAAGAAATCTCGACTGAAAGCCCAGAAGATCAAGTTTATGTATGAGAATCGAGAGATTTACTTTATCGAAAGCTTTGCTAAAGTCTGTGTATCTAATATCCGTATGCGCATGTTCACTAAAACCCAATTATTCATGGTTTACAAATTCAAGCAAGTGTGTTAGAGTCGATTTCCCTTTACGAAATCCATGCTGAAAAGAGTAAATTAACGGAGAAATCGAAAAGATTATATGGTCTGCGATGATAGCTTCAAAAAGTTTAGGTATTACTGATAGTTTTGCGATACCTCTATAGTTTTTCAATGTTAGACCTAAATCCACTTTTATGCAAAGGAATTATAAATGACTGTTTCCACATTGAAGGAAATATACCGTGTTTAAGAGAGGAATTAAATATCCTTCTCAAAGTCATGTAAATATATTTGTAACTATTTTTTAGTAAGCATGAGGGTATCATGTCTGGGCCGTAACTAAAAGATGGATTTGAGCCTTAGTAAAGTATTCGGACACAGCACGTGCAGATCGGAAAAAGTTTTAGGAGAATAATTACAGTAATTTGACTTGAAAAATCACTTTTTTTTAAAAAGTCACTTAAAAAGATAGCTTTGTATTTCATAGCGGAAGGAAATTTGGTAATCCAGCGTTTGGCGTTAACGAAATCATAAAACGATTTTGGATTACGTACAATATTCTTTTTTACCTTATTTAAGTTATTACTATAACATTTTTTGTTTAGCTCAAAATACTGTCGACGCAATACAGAATATTTAGAATAGTCGACAAGTGAACCGGTTTTTTAAATATTTAAAGGCTCGAGTTTTTCTGTTTTTTAATTTATATAACTCTTTTGAAAACCACGGACTTATACTTTTAATTTCATTAACAGTTACTATTGAAACATATTTGTATACTAATTGTCTGTCTTTGTGCCGAAAATGATAATAATCGGGTTAATACTTCTTTAAGTCCCTATATTATATATAATTTTCGAAATAGTCCCCATTCGATATTATGCTCTCATACCAGGGCTTATTGCAATAGACAAAACACTTCTCAAGCTCGATTTTTGGAATAGCCTTTAGCTCTTTCAGCGATGTTCATCTATCTAGTGAAACGACGGCTTTTTAAGATTCTCTTTATTTTTGGAAATAGGAAAAAGTCACACGGATTCATGTCTGGCGAATATGCAGGCTGGGGCATCGTTACAGTATTGTTTTTGGCCAAGGATTCCCGAACAAGCAACAAAGTGTGAGTTTTTATCAACGAAAACTTGCAAACTCATAAAAACACGTCCAACCTTAGCGGCTGCTACACACAAAGTAAGCAATAAATAAGCTAAAAATTTTACCGTACTTCAGGGGTTTGTATATTGACATAAACAAATTAACATTTTAATTAACATTTTAATTATAAAATTCCCGTTATTATTCAATTACCGACACCTCTCCAAAATAGGCTTTTGTTGGCAGGGAAAGGTTTCTAATCACTGAAACTATGCCTACCTTACTTGATGATAGCATACTTGTTCCTGATGTTAATCACTAATTACTAAATATTCATTAGTGTAATTACATATGTATTCGTTGTAATATAACTATGCAGCGCTAAGGCTTCACAAACGCCACCGAACTTCAAAGTGTGCGCTCTTCAACACTCAGCCTTTTCTCAAATATATACTTTTTTCTTCAATTCACTTTGCTGCTCTTCATGCGGTATTTTTATATAATTTTTTGTATTTCGGAGCACGTTGCGATCGCCCACCGACCGACACGGGTGTTATCAAACGTCCGCCACCGATGGAGCTTTTAGTCGCACACCCGTAGGCTGGCTGGCCACAGCTCCACCAACAAGTGGAATCGTAGAGAAATCGTGTCAACACGTTTAAGCTAATATGTCAGCGCGTCCGATATTGTACTATGCGCTTTTCAGTCCGCCCGCCAGAGCCGCATTGCTCACATCAAAATTTATCGGATTGAATGTGGAATTGAAGTGAGTGACGAATAAAAAAATAAAAATAAACTGAAAAAAAAAATAAAAATAAAAATAAAAGTAAAAACAACAGGAAAAAAAAACAACGCGCATAAAAGTACATATATGCGAGTATTAAAATATATATATATATTACATATATGGAAAATATATGTATAAATATATATATATATATATGTATTCACCTAAAACGCCAAAAAACGTAACATCATTTTTCATAAGTTTGCAAGAGAAGAAAATAATCGATATACATTAGAAAGTACTTATAACAATATTTTAGTTTTGGATATAACTTGGTTATATCTGATACCACAAACTTAAATAAATGTTAAATGATGTAGTGAACCGTGATCATTAAAAAAAGTAAATTTCGCATTTTTTGATGATACGTTGTTTTGCATTTTAGCTGACCACATGCCTACAAGTACTTATAATATAAAAATGTTTGTGTTCTCAATGTGCCACCGAATGTTTTTATTTGCTATACGTATATTCAGTGCTTTGCATTAGTTTTGCATGGTCAATGTCAGAAAAGGGCGTACCCTGAATGCATAAACAACCGTTTGGACTAAATTGAGCATAAATGTTTGGAAATAGAATTGTTTTCAAATACATTCAAGTTATATTATAATATAGGGCTTCAAGCGAAAAGCCATATGACAAACGTGTCAACTTGTAATGCTATTCCCAGAGAGAGAAAAATAGATATATGAGATAAAGCGAATTCCCAAACAACCTCATTCTCTTATCCAAATTTCTCGTTATCGCCAAAAGTGATTTCTGCGCGGGTGTATGTGTTCGTGTTAATTTACAATGACTCCATACGCGCATTGAGTGCGACCCACACACACGCGCACACATAATTATAAAATTAACTGATTTAAATGCCATAATATACCTGATTGATGATCTGATTGGGGCAGTGAGAAAGAGTAGAACAAGTTTGAGTACTTATACAATACATCTAATCAGTGAATGTGCATACCCGGTAGCCAATTCTGTGGGAGAGTAGGCAAAGTACGTAAAAAACGCTTTCTTAAGAGTTTTGGACTCACTTGGGTAAATATGAACCGTAGCTAATTTGAAAAACTATATTTTTTCTTTTTCAAATATTATTTAATACACATTTGCAGAACTATTTTGATTAAATTAATCAAAGAATAGAGTAGAAATTCGAAAAAAAATTTTAAAACACCAGAAAAACGGTGAATGATTCTTCTAATTCAGGAAAGATATGAGAAATTTATTTGAAATCTAAACAAAGCAACCCTTTACTTCAGTCATCTAATTTGAAGCAAATTCATTAACAGCCATAATTGGAATTTCGTTTGGATTTGTCAAAATAATAATAATCAAAATAATTTATACATTTTGAAAGGGTTTATGATTAAATTTAAACATCTCAAACCGAACCAGAACATAGAACAGCAATGAAATGCCAATCAATCTCTTCCGGTTTCGAAAATTTTATGGAATCGAAGTGCAGAAACGCCAGATTAAAATACAAACAACATTTAGCATTCAATTAAGAACAAATCAAAGAGGACGTGCGTTACGTATACGCAACCTGCGTCAGGAGAGAGTTTCAACAAGACTCCATAGGTTCCTAATTGAGTTATGTGGCAATTGTGATATTTTGAATAGTCTATTTTTGTTATCTTATAGAGAGCTAAATCTTAGATCAATACATTTCAATATAATTAAATATACAAATATGTACGTATACATTCATACATATATCAATATAATAAGTATTTGATTGACCTGTAAAGCATAAGATTTAGAGCGATATTTATGTTCAAATAAGTCGATCGTCTCGCTGGGTATATACACTTTGTAAATGCATATACCCATATTGTACATATGTATGTATATATATACTAACACGCTTAGTGAAATGCATGCGCACTAGTCCCTCAGTTTTTGGAGATATCGATTTGAAATTTTGCACATGTCCATTTCTCTCAAACAAAACTGCGCATCTGTCGAAATCGCATATATCGGACCACTATAGCATATAGCTGCCATACAAACTGATCGACCAAAATCAAGTTCTTCTATGGCTAATTTTTTTTTACATCTTCACGAAATTAAGCACGGCTTATTGTACAAAGCCACGGTACAATCTCCGAACATATTGTTCAAATTGAACCACTTTAACAATAACGTGGCTAAAAGAACCAGCAAAACGTTTGTACAGATGTATATTACATCCATATACATATATATACTTATTTATATTACCTTATCTATCACCATCACTGGTTACAATTTCATATAATCTTAATATAAGAAAAATTTCTCTGAACCACCTGCGTTCCAGAATCCGAATATTAAAAAGCAGATAAATATTAGTATACTATCTGTATGTATGGTATATACATTTTATATGATAAAAATTTAATTTTATTTTGTTGTTAAAATTGTCACGAATTCAAGTTTTCACGAGATAGTATGTACCAACAATATCAATCAGTTATACCGTCACTGACATATGTATATGCAAGGTCTTTATCTGAATAATTAGAGTGCTATTCACTTGGTGATAACAATATTCTTCATTTTACTTTTCTACACAAAGAAACAAGAATGAACAAAAACCGATATCGACTGATATTTTGAAATTGTTTTCTACCCTTCATACATTATTTTAGTTATTACTGCGATGAAAACAAATATTTGCTCATTTATAATTATTTTATTTATTTATATTTTTTTTTCATATACATATATTTGTGTATACATATTGGAAAATTTACAAACTTCTGCACTTTTTCGTCATTTTATTTTTTCTTAGCATACTCATTCATGTTTCTATGCAGTAGGTGACTACGGAGACTTATGAGTAACTTGTATTATTTACTATTCGTCCTGTTAAGACAGCATAAGTTACTCATACGCCCTTATGTACGTTCTCTTTGTCGCTATTATTTTAAGGAAATCTAAATATCTCGTAAAATACATGACGTCTAGGCATAACAGCAGAAAGTGCTTAAGTAAAAAAAAATTAATTTTGAACTTCTCCATCCAACTCAGTAATATGTATTTTAGTAATATTTAACCTAATTTTATCCGGAAATTGATACTCTCTAAATTTCATTAAGACATCTCACATTGACCAATAAAACTGTCTGCAATTTTTGTTTCTACCGTCTTCAGTTTTTTTCCTTTATCAGTTAATATTAATAGATCAATATTTTTAATATAACAAGAATAACCGTTAACTTCGATTACACCGAAGCTATAATAACAAAATCTTGATTCCGATCGTTCAATTTGTATGGCATCTGTATGCTATAGTGATCAGATCTGAACAATTTCTTCAGAGAATACATTGTTGCCTTAAATAATAACTCGTGCCTAATTTCGTGAAGATACCTCGACAAATGAAAGAGTTTTCCATTCAAACACTTGATTCCGATCGTTCAGTTTGTATGACAGCTATCTGCTATAGTAGTCCGATATCGGCGGTACCGACAAAAGAGCAAGTTCTTAGTGTGAAAAGGACAGGTGCAACATTTCAGATCGATAGCTTAAAAACTGAGGGACTAGTTTGTATATATAGGTATAGACAGACGGACATACGGCTTAATCAACTCAGCTCATCATGCTGATCATTTATGTATATATTTTATAGCATCCCGACATTTCCTTCTTGATGTTACAAACTTTGTGGCAAACTTAACAGGGTATCAGGGCATAAAAACCTTTTCACTAAAGTAAGTCTCTGAACTACATTATCGACGTTTAAGCGAAATCTTTAAAATTACAAAATTCTCCATAATTCTCCCTAAAATGCGCATTTATTTTCAAAATATTGTACTGTTATCTATCATAAAACCACTTTGCATGAAAAATTAATGAATATAATTTTTTTTTGTTCCGCAGAACTATCAACTATGCCTCACAGGAGCATCAAAGCGATTGGTTCCTGAAGGTAAATCCGCGACACACTGTACCCGTGCTGGTCGATCAAGGTGTGCCGTTGTGTGACAGCCACGCCATCATTACCTATATGGTCAATCAGTATGGAGAAAGTCACCACGATCATTTATATCCGAAAGATTTCTTAAAGCGTGCCGTCGTCGACGAGCGTTTGTATTATGAGGACGGTGTACTATTTCAAGTGATAAAAGATTTTGTGGTATGTGAACATTTAGGTGAATATCTGACCTTTAAAACTTTTTCATAGTTATATGCATTACCCTTGCTTGTCTACACTTAGGCACGCATAATGTATGGCGGCGATATCGATTATCATCGTAAAAGTATCGAGCTGTCGCATAATGCCTACAGTTTTCTTGAAGGATTCCTGTCACGTAGCAGTTACGTAGCCGGCGAAGAATTAACTTTGGCGGATATTTCCATTAATACCACACTCATTACATTGCATAAGTTGGTGACCGTAGAGGAGCGGCGGTAAGTCAAGTTACCCAGAGTTGTTTTACACATAAACTTATCTGAAGTATAATCTTTTAGATATCCGAAAATCTGCGCGTGGATGCAGCGGATGCGTGAAGAATTACCGGAGTACGAAGAGATTAATGAGCAAGGCGCACAACAGTTATATTTACGCTTTCAGAATGCTTTGGAGCAGAATATGACTAAGCGTACGTAACCGAACGTTCAGTTTTGTAGCAATGACCTTGTAAATACATACATACCTGTGGAAAGTTAATCCTATAATTTTGTGTTATAACTTTTTTAAATTAATAGACAAAATAACTAATTGAATACATAAAGTAGAGCATTCGTATTATTTATAAAGTTCACAATGTAGTTGACACAATTAGAACATTTGTACTAGACTAGGGTCGCTTGTCGAATTATTTAACTTATAATTTAAAATAAATTTAATTATTTCAGGAGACCCGTTCGCAGGATAGTCGGGTTTATGTTAACGGAAAGCATCTGGTGTTTTATGCAGCCAATGACTGTCAAGGGAAGAGAGAAATTGCACAGGGAAATAAAAGAGCGATTGGATGCTATATACGATGATTTTTCTCTTTCGCTTGCCGACCAATTGGTTTAACGAGTTTCAACATGGTCGCATGTGAGGTTTTGATGATCCACACCCAGGTGCCTTAAAAACGGAGGATAATGTGACAAAAATTCTCAATTTCAATTTTGTATAACGTCGACTGAAGGTGCGCTAATTAACTGAAATAGTAAGGATCTCTAAAGACAGCGTTCAGTAATGTTTGACGTAACCGTCGACGGAACATGGATCTCCTGATTCAAAACAAAGACCAACAATAGGCCAAAAAGTGAAATTCGCAAGGCAAGCCCGCTCGAAATGTGTATTTGTTGACAGGAAAGGTGATAGCCACAGTTTTTTGGGATTCACAAGGTCTGATCTACATCGACTACCTTTTAGGGCAAAGAAATCGTGCTTTTCCAAGACGACGCACCGATAAACAACACAATCAAATTGGTCGACTACGCGCGACTTCTTTATAAACTTGTGAAAGTCAATCGCCGGGCAGCCGAATGTAAAATATATCGTTCCTACGAAAGCCTACTTTGCCGACTTCTACAAAACCTTTTTTTCAGAGGGGTTAAGAGTATCGACAAATAAATTGCACTTTTTTTAAATTTTCGTGTTTCTTCTATGGTATATACTAAATACTTAGCGGAACGTTCTCATATACAAATCGTTTAGTAATAAATGATATATAGAAGTGTGTATAGAAAAGTCTCATTAGGAAGCTACTTGTTTTGTGTGCTAATGGAAAATACTTTATAGACAACAGACTTGAGGATATACCATTTTCTTTTTCATGCTATAAAATATGCTTTAATATTACTTGCTTTTTTTTGTATAACAGTTGTACATCGGTTCAAATTTTCAACTAGAATAAAGTTAAAAACATCATTGTACTTCCTGCAGCGCCAACCAGGCGCTTTGATTTTGCGGATGCAGACGTATAGCATGTTGTATTAATTTTAGCGAGCGCGACTTGTTAACGGCGCTTAAAGCTCGACTGGCAATCAACAGCAATTTAGAATCCTCAACGCAATCGCTCCTAAAAGTGGAAAAAATGTATAAATGGGTGAGAGATGGGTATATCAAAGTATGTAACGCACCTTCGTGTTTTATTGCGGTGCAATAGGCTGATTGAGCTCAGTGCGATTTGGCTTGTGGCCAGTTGGAACTGTGCTGCATGGCTGAAATGGTCCAATAGATAATTAGCCAACACTTTGCGCAGTTCAGCGTGATGTGGAAAAATATGTACACGGGTCAGCAGGTAAGTCAGTCCTTTGCGTATTTGTTGCTGTGGCAAGGAATTTCAAAATTAAATTTATATAAAAAAAAAATAATAATTAGTGAACAAAACAAACTTTAACAGCTTACTTACAATACTTGCATAGTGTTGCGCCGTCAAGTAGCTGATATGTGCGCAGTGGGCCTCACAGTTTTCGTATTTCTTTAGCTCTGTCAGTATGGTTGTTGTTAACTGATTGTCTTGATGTAGAATGCCCAAAGCGCAGGCGGAATATAATGCTTGTATAGGCGAGTTCTTAAGTAGTATGCTAAAGAAATAAGAAGAAAATTAGAGAAATTTTGTTGAAAAAAAAACAAGGACAACAACTAATTGTAAATAAATTTACACACCATTGATACAAAATCGTTTTAGTGTCTGCTTCACCTTGCGAGGCGTAAACCATGGCCGCCATTGCTACCAATATCATGCCAGCTTTATCATCACCACCATCGGACAAACTCTTCAAAACCGAATTGTACACCGAATATGCCTCCTGATGTTGGCCGGCGCGCACGAATGCCAGCGCCAAACCAATTATGGCCTTAAATGATGCGTGTGTTATGCAATTGAAAACGTTTATGGCATCATTAGGTCGATTGATTGTTAAGTAAAGATAACCCAAATTCGTCAATAACTTATCGCGATCTGCACCTGACGCAATGTGCTCAATAGCCTGCAGGTATGCACGCTCGGCTAGAGCATAATTCTTCTGTCGTATGTTTAGGAAACCTTGGAAGGAGAGCGCAGCGGGTGTGGCGTCCTTCTCCTCATTTACTATGTGCCTAAATTTGTATGTAGTTTAAAAATGTTATAAAAAAATACTGCGTTTCCAGTTAATTTCAATGTTATTACCAGTTAATCGCATCCAATGCCACCACATCTGCATACATGCTGTCAATAGCATGACGATAATGCGGTATTTTGCACTTTTCCGCATTTGTCAGAACGTTGCACACCCAGTGAGCATAACCTAATGAGGACTCCGAATGGTATTCAAACTGCTGACAATGTCTGAAGAGATCCAAAGCTTCCTCCTCTTCACCGATGGCTTCAGCAATCATAGCTTGTCCAATCCAAGCATTTCCATAAATGGGACTCGATTGCTGGGCCCGCTGAAATGCCTGATTAGCCAGTTTTATTTCACTTAACTTCAAATAGAGCACACCCAGGTTAGTCCAAGTGGTAAACGACTTGCGATCAAGCGTAAGTGCCTGAATGAAGCAATGCTGTGCCAACGGCAAGTTATTGACCGCTACAATATAAATTTAAATTATTTAAATAAATAAAACTTAATACAATAAAAACGTTAACTTCGGTTACACGGAAGCTATAATATCCTTGACAAATAAAAAAAAATAATAAAAAAGTAAAAATAAATTAATAAAAATAACTTAATTTTGATCACATCAGTTTGTGTGGGAGCTGTATGCTATAGTGGTCCGATGCCGTTACGACAAACGGGGAGATTCTTGGAGAGAAAAGGACGTGTGTAAAATTTCAGAGCGATATCTCAAAAACTGAGAGACTAATTCGCGTTTATACAGATAGACGGACGAACCGACGGACATAGCTAAATCAACTCAGCTCGTCACACTGATCATTTATATATATTTTTTATAAATTCCTTCTGAGTGTTACAAACTACGTGTCAAAGTTAATAAACCCTGTTCAGAGCATAAAAACATGTATGTGGTTATTGTAAGTTAATAAACCCAGTTCAGAGCATAAAAACATGTATGTCAATACCTTCATGCAAATTTATTACGCCGAGCAAATTCCAATTTTGCCAACGACCACCTTGCTCATTTATGGCCATTTTGCAGGCTTTGGTTGAAAGTTCCAATTGTGTAGACGCTTCGTCAGGTAAAAATATGGCGCAATAATAAGAACATAAGGCGAACTCATACCAGATAAATGTGTTCGATTTCAATTTGATGGCGCAGGTGTAAAACCTGTTAAGAGAAGAAGAGAGGGCGGTGAGCCATATATAATTTAATGATTACGTTCTGTTCCCGTACCTTGCAGCTAACTTGAAGAGGTCCCTTCTAGACAAAATCGCCGTGTTCTCTTCCAGTTTAGCCAGCTGGCCCGACACCTCCAAGTATGCCAAAGAGCTGGGCATGCTTGCAGTTTGCACAAATACATTTGCAGTTAGACGCCACAGCCAGAACATGTTTTGATTGTTTGATGACAAGAAAGCACTAGTTGGAAGAGCAGTCGCATAAGAAAATTTTAATTAAATTTTTTTTAAACAGATTTTAAAGCTACCGTTGCAAATGATTAACAGCCAATTGTAGATGCTCTTTGCAGCGTCCATATAAATGTTCCAATTTCATATTGTTCGCCAAGCCAATATGCGCTTCAGCGGCACCTTTCAAACCAGGCAAGTAATCGGGATGTGTTTGTAATAATTCGTCGAACTCGGCTATAGCTTCGGGATACATACGAATGGTCTAAAGCAAAAAACATATACACATATATTGGAAAACTATTAAATGTGTGGTATTATTTACGTACCGATTTAAGCAGCGCCATTTGTAGCTTCGCATAAATGTTGCTAGGGCACATTTCTAGTATTTTTTGAAAAACGCGTATGGCAGAGTAATATGAGCCGCGCTCGGAGTAAGCATCTCCCAGAGACTCCCAATAGCTCATGCAATTTACGTCAAGTTTAATAGCAGTGCGAAAGGACTGTATGGCCTAAAGAAAAAAATTTAATTTTTTTAATTTTTATACCCTGTACAGGATATTATAAGCTTGCCACGAAATCTGTAACACCCAGAAGGAAAGGTCGGAGACTATACAAAATATAAATAAATATAAATGGTCAGCATGATGAGCTGAGTCGATTTTCTCTGTTTGTTTGTTGTTGTATCGGCAGAATTCTGTCGAGTTGAGAGTCCTTGACCGGCTAAAATCCGGGTCCGTTCCGGTTATGTAGACCCGACTGTCGTGGGAACGAATATTTGTTTGTCTTTCCGTCCGTCTGTCTGTATATACGCTACCTAATCCCTCATACTTTGAGATATCGGTCTAAAGTTTTTAACACGTTTTTTTCTTTCCAAGAAGCTGCTTATTTGTCGGAAGCGCCGATATCGAACCACTGTAGCATATAGCTGTCACACAAAAACGTACCCATCAAACTCAAGTCGTTGTATAGAAAACCGTTTTATTTGACAAGCTATAGTCACGAAATTTGGCATAGATTATTATCCAAGGCATCCCTTTAATCTCCGAAGAAGTTGTTCAGATCAGATCACTATAGCAAATAGCTGTCATACAAACTGATCGACCAAAATCCAATCCTTGCATGGAAAACGTTTTTATTTGACAAGATATCTTCTCGAAATTTGACAAGGACTATCATCTAAGACATCGCTACAATTTCCGAATATATTGTTCGGATCGAACCACTATAGGATATTGCTGCAATTTAAACTGGCCTATCAAAATCAAGATAAAGATCTTTTTATACCCTTTAATGCTATAAAAAGTCCACCTGTGAAAGGTGTTATAGCTTCCGTGCAGCCGAAATTAACATTATTTATTTTTTTTTTATTGTTGGTTTTTAATTATTTCTTTACGAATACTAACCTCGTCCCACTTTTTAACATTAAAGTAATGTAAGCCTAGCTTGTAATGTATGCGCTTAGAATCCTCAGTTTTCATATATTTAGGCGTGTTAATCAAAAGCGCAACGTTCAAATCCTGTGGAATGAAAATTATTCATAAATATAAACATAAACATAACATAAAAAAGGAATACATAAAATTATCTGTGGCTGTTATAACAACAAATTCAAACTAATAAATTCGCCATTCATTTAACAAATTTTCAGCTTAATACTAATTTTAGCCAAAAAAAAAACAGTTTTACTCATTTCAAATTTTGCTGCTTAGAATGTTAACCGTAATTTTACCTCTTCTCCTAATTGCTGGTAAATAGCACTCAGGTTATTTACTGCGCTCTCACACAACGGATTCAAATTCACACATTTTTCGAAACATTTACGTGCACGCACCAAATCCTTTGTGAGGTAATAGATTTTTCCGAGGTAATGAAAGCATTCCGAACTATAAGGTTGTAAACGCGTCGCTTTGAGCATGCAATTCAAAGCAGACGCATAGTCAGTCAATTGTAAATGCAATTTTGCGAGTAAGAAGAGGCAATCAAACGTTTCTGTATCATCCGAGGCTTGCAATAAGTTTAACGCAGCCTCAGGTGCCCTAAAAATATTAAAAATAGTTAGCGTGCAAATGTACGTAGTTTTTCAAAAATATAGTTATGATGCTTACAAGAGAAACTCCGCTTGTTGTAGTGTATTTAAACTCAGTGCTTTTAGCTTATCCGTATCGCCCATTTTAAAATAACAACTGCATTAAGTAATACACAAGTAAATTAGTTTTAAAGCTAAATATTTGTATTTGCAGCAATTACCTGGCCAAGGCCGCTGTTACTTCCTCATTTGGTTCAAATTTCTTCAACAACTCAATTGCTTCTAGCAACTGTTGTTCATTACTGCTAACATGGGATAAGCAAATAGGATACTCGATGGAATTATCTTTTCCAATTGTTTTCCATATTGGCAATGCCAAGCCCCATACACCAATTAGCATTTCTACGCGCGCCAACAATTCTAAAGCAATGCTATATTTCGGTTGTAATTCTTGTACACGATATAATAGATCACGTGCCGCTACAAATTGTTTTTGCTCAAAGTGTTTGATGGCTCGAATGAGTAATCCTAAACTGGCATTCGGATTTATCTGTAGCAATGCATCGACATAGTGTTCTATAGTTTGTTGCGCTTCTTTTAAACACGATATGGACACATCACGAAATTCACAGTAAATTTTGCACACCCATTCATAGGCGTATATGTCGTCAAGGTATTTTTTGGTAGCTTCACAGGCATGCTTAAAGCAATTAGCATAGCATTCTTGTTTGTACAGTAGTTTTAGGTATCGTTTGTAAGCATTGAGTTGTTGATTATCTTGTGGGTCTGCAATAAGTTTTTCCAAAGCCGTCTTATACTGCAAAAAAAAAACACGATGCGCGTTATTGTACATGTATTAATTTAGAAATTGCATTCAAAACCTACTAGGGACTCATCTTCAACTTGAACATCAAATTCAAATAAGATCCAAATTCTTGCCAAATATTTCAAAGCTAGGTGAAGCCTTTCTTCATTTTGATCATTCCTTGTTAATTCACGCTTGAAAATATTAAAACACTCTTCTGCAACACTCCTGTTGTTTAGCCCAACTGCGTAAAGCTTCTCAAAATAAAATGCAGATTTTTCGCTGAAAAAAAATATAATTTATTGAAATGGTATTTCGAATATGGATTTCTACATCGATCCTCTTTTAGTTTATAGCACTTTAATTTAGGTTTTTGTATAGCTAATTTAAACTTTTTGTTGGTAAAGTATAATTCTTTTTTTAATAAATAAAAATTATTTTTAAAAATACAAGAAAAAACGTTAACATTGGTTGCACCAAAACTATAATATCCTTCACAGGTGCATTTCTTATAACATCAAAGGTTACAAAAATATTTTTATATTCAATCAGTTTGTATAGCACATATAGTGCGATCTGAACAATTTTTTTCGAGATTGTACCGTTGCATTGGAAAATAATTCATGCCAAACCTCGTGATATAGAAATGGTTTACATACCAGAATATGATTTTGATCGTTCAGATTGTATGGCAGCTATTTGCTATAGTGGTTCGTGGACAGCTTCTTGGGGAGAAAGTGACGTGTGCAAAATTTCAAATTGCCATTTAAAAAACTGAGGGACTAGATCGAGTATATACAGAGAGGCGGACGGACAGGCGGACTTCGCTAATTAAACTCACTGATCATGCTGATCGTTTATATGTACATTCTAACACCTTCTAGGTGTTAGAAACTTCGTGGCAAACTTAATATTTGCTTTAAACTTACGGCACTAAATCTATTAATTGTTCATAAATTTTTGGAAGCTCATCTAGCGGTGCACAATTAGCTAGTCCCTGGAGTGCAACAGTTGGCGCAGCCGGTGAAAGTTCTACCGCTTTTCGCAAACATTTTGCAGCCTAAAAATAATATATAAAAAAATCGTAAATATATAAAAACGCATTAATTTCATCAAATATCATCATAACAAACCTCCATTTTATTGCTGTTTTGGTAAGCTGCTCCCAAGAGTAAATAGGCCATATAATTCTTAGGTTCATCTCTAAGCAAAGCCTGTATATAAAGAACAGTATTAAATATTATAATTTACTTGTTGATTGCTTTCATATTTATCCACGTACTTCACACTTTTCAATTGCATCATTGAACTTTTCACTTTTGATGTCTTCACGAACTTCTTTCAGTATTATTTTAGACTCCTTGATCGACATTATGTATTTAAAACAATTATTAATTAAAATATTATAAAGTTAACAAATATCCAATCAAAAACAAAACATACAATCATCTGTTTGTATAAGGCTGCCAGACTGCATGTTTTTGTGATGCTTTTATTACATAAATAAATGACTCTGGCCACATTTAAAGAAGAAAGGAAAGGGAAAATAAAAAATGCAACGCTTCTTGTAGGAAACAGAACTCAGTTGAGCGAAAAATAGGAGTGTTTTTTCTGCTTTTCGTTTTAATGGCATTTTTCATCTCCATTCCAATTGTTTAATTTTTAGAATTAAAAATAAAATCAGTTAATAAGTTAAAAAATAGTTAAGAAGTAAAATTATAAAGTAATTACTTGCGGTATATGGTACACGAATTTAGTTAAATAAAATACGGCTCCTAATTGGAATTTTTCATGAGCTATGTAGTGCAACGTCAAGAAAACGAATACCGAGGCAAAGAAAATAGTCTGAATTTTCCTAAACATCCCCCAAATAAATTACACACAATATAAAGTTATATGCAACACCATAACGAAAAAACTTAACTATTACTAGTTCTTGACTCCTATTATTTGTATAAAAAAAATTTAATTGCAAAAATAGCTCAGATCAAAAAGTTATCAGGCGGATTGCACTCGCCTACAAGAGTGTGTGTTTGCGTTGTTGACCGCTGTGTTGGCGGTGTTTGCAATGGAAAACGAATCTGTTAAGTCAGAACACAGCGGACGATCTAGACGTTCTCGCAATCACAATAATAATAACAGCTCTAGCACTGGTGGTGGTGGTTTAGGTAATAACGGCGGAGGTGGCACTGTAAACAACGGTTATCATCGAGATCGTACAAGGCATTCACATCGTAGTGGACATACAAAATCAAGTGGTAAGCACCAACGTGGCGATATGGCACCGTTCCAAACGAGCGTAAATATGACAGGTAACTAACATGACATAATATAAAAAATCCAAATTATTAATGTTCTTTAAAGGTGAAGAAAATCGCGATGGTCAAGAAATAATCGAGGTACAAATACTACCACAAGACGAAAACTGGGGTGAGAATACAACAGCAGTCACTGGCAATACATCAGAACAAAGCATATCTATGGAAGACATTAATAATGCATGGCATAGAGAGAACGACACAAGTTTTGGATTTGCTTGTCGGCGACGTTTGGAATCTGCCTTTTCACTCCTACTTGGGTTTGTATCATTCTTCTCGCCAGTAGCCATGGTGGTAATGCCACGCATGGGTTTCTTTCCATCTGCGTTCGATCACGCCGAACTCACACAAACGGTGCGCACACAACTCTTAGCATGCAGTAGCGAATGTAAAGGCTTGCTGGTGTCACTAACTGCACGACTCATACTACTGGCAATAGGCTTGTGGGCGCTCTTTATGCGTCGCTCAGCCGCCACTATGCCAAGAATATATCTGTATCGTGCCATTGTGCTATTACTTGTCACCATTTGCACATTTGCTTATTGGCTGTTCTATATGGTGCAGGTAAATGTCGTCTGTTACTTGAATTTGTTCTTCCAATTATAATTATTTTTTAATTTTGTAAGGTCACTAATGGCGCCAAAGTGGTGGTGGAAACCGGTGGTGATGCAGTTAATTACAAATCGTTAGTTGCCTATGCAACAAATTTGGTAGATACCCTGCTCTTCATACACTATATTGCTGTAGTTTTACTCGAACTACGGCATCAACAACCTATGTATTATGTCAAGATTATACGTTCACCAGATGGTACATCCCGCTCTTATATGCTAGGTCAATTGAGTATACAGCGTGCAGCTATTTGGGTACTTCAACGATATTACGTGGACTTTCCGATATTTAATCCGTATCTAGAGCGCATACCGATTTCGAAATCACAACGGAATAAAATCTCAACTAGTTTTAAATACTACGAGGTGGATGGGGTTAATAATGCACAACAGCAGAGTCAAAGTCGTGCCGTATTAGCGGCCAATGCGCGGCGACGTGATTCATCACATAATGAACGCTTCTATGAGGAACACGAATATGAACGCCGTGTCAAAAAGCGGCGTGCGCGGCTTATCACAGCTGCAGAGGAGGCCTTTACGCATATCAAACGCATACACAATGAACCCGCACCAGCAGTGCCACTTGACCCACAAGAAGCGGCGCAAGCCGTATTTCCATCTATGGCACGCGCCCTACAAAAATATTTACGCGTCACACGACAACAGCCACGACACACGTTCGAAAGTATATTAAAGCACTTAGCGCATTGTCTCAAGCACGATCTATCGCCACGAGCATTCCTCGAACCATATCTAACGGAATCGCCAGTATTGCAAAGTGAAAAGGAACGCCGTTGGGTACAATCGTGGTCGTTAATTTGTGATGAACTTGTATCACGACCAATCTCAAACGAGTGTACATTCCAACTGATACAAAACGATGTCTCACTCTTGGTCTCCATACACAAACTGCCGCATTTTAATATTGCTGAAGAGGTTGTCGATCCAAAAAGCAATAAATTTGTACTGAAATTAAACTCTGAAACATCGGTATGACAGCAAACGACTGCAAATATGACACCGACACCGACGCACAGCAATGTAACGCAATCCTCATATTTACACATGTTTGTATAGGTGCCAATCTTAATCTCATTCGGTCTAGTACGCATTCATACTGTCTACTCGTACATACATACATATATTAAAAATCCTCAATAACTTTTTTGTTATTGTTGGTAGCTAAACATTTTCGAAATGCTCACTATTCCCAGTGTATCCTAATCATTGACACGCACACATATCAAATAAGTAATATCAACGCTGTTCTATGTATAATCCTATCGTATTTCCGAAGTATTAATAGTGACAGCCAAAAAGTAATAATTCATTAATTTTAAAAATCTCACTTTGGGTGTAAGTAATAGGGGTTTTAAATAGCTTTTTTAAGAAATGTAGAAATAGAAACAGAAAGAAAATGGAGAGTTTTAAAATATTTCTAATTTTTTTTCTTTATTTATAAAGCTAAAAGTGTGCAGATGCCGCCGACATATTTTATCAAAATAAACTGTAGTGCATAAAAAGTAGGCCTTAAGACGTCTTGAGACCTACACATTTAGCTCTATCTTGATTTTACTTTATTGTTTTTTTTTTCGTACACAAATTTTTAATTTTCTTTGCGTTTTTAATTCTATAATTTTTAATTAATTAATAGATAAGCACTCAAAAGCAAAATATAATATTTAGATAATATAGTGTATATGAAATAAGAATGTAGTTGTAACTTTTTTAATTCTCACTATTTACACATACATAGATAAATGTTTTGACAATTATGATATGCTTACCAAAATCTGAAACAATTGTAGTTAAATTATAATTACATAAAAAGTCTCCTTTAATGTAAACACATCGCAAAGTTCTCTACATAATCGACTAAGAAAAATAATCTGCAATTTAACTACAAAAAACAATCTCCCTTTAACAACTTAAAACTAAAAATAAAATCATAACTCGGTATATTTAAGAGTTACTAACAGGAAATGCTGACAAATAAATCATATATTGTTGGAGACTGCCCAACTGCCAGTTTTATACGCCTACAAACATTCATTGACTACGCATAAATAACAGAATTAAGTATTTTACACTCGAAAGCATTTACTAATTAATGATAAATTGTATTACTAAAAACAACAAACAATTTCTAGTTAAGCATAAAAAATATTCTAATGTAAGGGACAAAGATCATACATTTTTTATACGGATACTTCAAGAAACAAACAAAATAAACATACGCAATATATGTATGCATGCTAGTTTAGGCATTATTTTATAATGCATTTACTATATAAACGTGTATGTACTTGCATACCAACATAGATTTGAACATATTTGTAAGCTTTCAAATATTTATAGTGCGAATTTTCCTACTTATTTCTAGCTAATTACTTATTTTTCATTTTAAGAAGCTCTTTTTATTTTTAATGCGGATTGTTGCAAACATACTCGTAACACAAATATATACACATATTTATTTATTAGTAATTATCTAGTTAAGCTTAAAATTATTAAATATTATATGGCTGATTAAAAACACTATGTGCTAAGGCTCCCTCCCATATTCACAAACTGTGCGCCTGTATTATCGGTTTGCGTTGTGCAACCGACCTATTTTTATTTATATTTAATTTCGCGTAAATACTCATATTGCGTTACAATGGCCTGCGGATCGCTCTTTTTTATATCAATAAAAATTATTTAACAAATAATAAATGAAAATTTAATTTTCGCATTTTGAAAATCTATAAGTATAAAATCAGAGACAATATTTTAAAAGTAGATTGGAAACCCCAAATTGTAACGAATTTTGTACAAAATTAATTATTTCTCATTTGAAATGAATAATTTGTTTTATATATACATATAAACAAAGAAAGCATGTAATAATTACTAAATACGTCTCTCGACAGACTGAAAGGCTTCTTTTTTCTCGGAGTAGTCGACCAATTCAAACATAGTAAAACGAATTTTCACTCTTACAGCTGAATATAAAAACATACGGTTTGTAGAGGCTAGCCTGTCTGGCCCAGTTTTAGATTTGTTTACTTCACGGTTTCTATAACGGGTCATGTCGTAAGAAGTTGTTTTCAAAACCTGCATTGCATATAAGATCTGGGCAAACCCAGTTGGGCGCTGTTTCATAAGTGCTATATTATCTGCTTCAATATTCTAACAAGAGATATACTTTATATGGTCTCCGACTTTTCCTTTTTTCTGTTACAAACATTGTGGCAAACTTAAGAGCAATATAAACAACACATCTTATCATTTTACATACTGATTGTTGATAAGCAGCGATCGATCTTTAAAATTTTGCCGAGTTTTTAAAAAAACTGTTAAGTTAGCACCTGTTTTTACTGCCAGAATTTAAAATGTGCCAGGTCTATAGTCGTTTACTGCTTCTTCTTCTTTCACTTGTTTCGATCTCGTAGAAGAACACTTTTCCAGGGATTGCCGTTTTTAGACGTCGATTAGTCGACATCAATACCTTGCCGACTTTCTACCAAACCGAGTTTAGATGATCCTTACAACAAAACAACAACAATAATAATATTAATTGCATTTATTAAGTGAGAACTGAGATTATACAATTATAATGATGAACTTTATTCTTGTCCAGCAATAGTACGATAAATACAATTAAAAAAATAGTATACCTTTGGTAAATCAATGGAATTTGTGTAGAAAACAAATTAAAACAAAATCGAAACCTTAGTTCCACACCATGAAACACGAATTATATTCGTATGTGAGCGCAATAAATAATATTAAATAATGTAACAAAGACATTTTTCAAATTATCGCTATTTACTTGTAAACAAATGTAATCTCCGTGATCGCGTTAGTCGGAATGTTATTTATGATTGTTTAAAATGACGTAATAAAACCTGAGAGGGGACAAATAGCTATAAGTTGTGTGCGTCCAATTAGAAATGCCTTAAGTGAAATTAAGATTTTTCCTTTACCACGTATTACAACTTAAAATCAATACTTTCTTGTTTCTATTATTTGTTAGCATTAATGTAGACTTCAATCAGACTTAGCTGTTAGGTTATTCTCATTTGGCTTCAAAAATTCTTGCACTATAGCTGCTACCATCTCATTAGTGGTATTAATTAAACCATCAAAATCTTCTTGTCCGGGTTGTGCACACATTTCGGCATAATATTTGATTTTTGGTTCAGTGCCACTTGTGCGCAGTGTAATGACTAGGCCATTCTCGAATGTAAAAGTAATCATTTGGTTGCTGGCGCTAACGGGTAAGATGGCCCTACCATCAGATTGTGCTGTATCAACGCCTATTAAGAAATTTCGATTTATTTGTTAAATATTCAAATACTATTTTAAACACTTCTCATAACTTACCATTGCTCAAATCGCGTATGTACTTAATTTTGTATTTTCCCTCGAGTATGCTAGACGGGTATGTTTTCGATTCCCCAGCGAAATTACGTAGACGTTCGAAAATCTTCTTAATAACTGGTGGTTCGTAACAAAAGTAATAAGATGAATTATTGTAATGAAATCCATATTCCTTGTATATTGTTTGTAGTTTCTCATCGAATGACATTTTTTCTTTCGCCTCAAGGTAACAGGCCATTGAAGCTAAATGGCAAGCAGCGCTTACGCCATCTTTGTCTAAGACATTAGTCGAGAACATGAAACCAATAGCCTCTTCGAAGGCAAATAATACCGTTTTTCCACCGTTAATGAGCTTGTCCGACTCGTTACCCATCCACTTGAAACCCGTGAGGGTCTCAATAAAATGAAGACCTTCTTTTTCGGCAAAAGCCCTTAGTATCTTAGAGCTTACAGTGCTGGCAAGAAAATAGCAATTGGAGAGATCACCTTCTGGATGTGTGTGCTTGTAGAGATGTATAGCCCACCAACCGAGCAGTGCGCCGATTTCATTGCCACTGTAAACCTATAAATTGCATTTAAAAAATGCAATTTGCTTTCTTATAAAATACACATATTTACCTTCCACTTGCCGGTATTTGGATTTTTCGTGGCTAAAGCCAATCGGTCGGCGTCTGGATCATTGGCAAGAATGATTGAGCAACCGGTACTGTCAGCTTTTTTTATTGACAATTCCAATGCGCTTTTACCCTCTTCTGGGTTTGGAAATACTACAGTTGGAAACTCTGGATCTGCATCCTTTTGTTCTTCCACAGCTATAACAGGTTGCAATTTTACTGCTTCGAATGTATCTTTCACAAAAGGATATCCCACTCCATGCATTGCACTGTAAACTAAACGCAAGTTGCTTCGACTATTCGTTTCAATAAAAGGTGGTGGCAATGTTTCACGTACTTTGTCCACGTAAGTCTTAATAGCCTCTTTCGGATCAATGAGATTTGCTGAGTTATATAAATTCTCTGTATTCCAAGTGTCTACCCATGGCTTAAGATTCGCCAATATAGCTTTCTGAATGTTTTTATCATGGGGCGATATGATTTGTGCTCCATTATTCCAGTACACTTTATAGCCATTATCATCTTTTGGATTGTGTGAAGCAGTTACCATTACACCGCCTAGGCAATGGAAATGCCGTATGGTGTACGGTACTAAAGGAGTGGCTACTAAACATCGATAGAGGTAAACCTTAAACCCAGCACGCACAAAAACATTTGCCGAGATCTCTGCAAACCGTTTACTGTTATGTCGGCCGTCATAGCCAAAAACAATGCCACGTTCTTTCGGCAAAGTATCGCTAATTTGCTCCGTCATGTAGGTACATAAGCCTTGTGCAGTTTGTGCTATGACTAAATCGTTCATACCATTGAAGCCAGCCCGCATTTTACCCCGCAAACCGGCGGTGCCAAATGCCAGACGGGTATTCAAAAGTTCGTCTAATTTTTTCCAATCCTCTGCTTGTTCCAGCGATTTTATTTCGGATAGAGTTTTCTCGCATTGGTCCCACTTCAACCACTGATCGATCGCTTCACGTAATTGTGGAGATGCCATTTTTAATTCTGGAAAAGGGGAAAATCTGTGTAATCGTATCTATGCCAATATTTTAAAGGAAATTACAAAAATGTCATGGTTATGCCAATTATGCCACGAATTACGATAATCTAGCAGCATATTTATTATGTTTAGAAGACAGGCTAAGTACGATGTGAATACATACACATACGACTAAAAACATATCACGTTTAGAAGACAGTTCAAGGTAAGTTCGACGTTGTAAACAGTAAGTTACTAAGTTAGATTCATATCATTTATGACCGGTTCTACGTTATCACAAAACATTACATTTAGAGCAAAATAATACATACATACATATGTATGTGTTTTGTATTTCTTGAAATCTATACTTAAGCCAAAATTTAGATTGTTGTACATAATACCACACATTTTCACAACTTATATGTATTTCTTACCTACGCTAAAGTATTTAACTTTACAACACTTTTTAATATTATATGAAGAATGTCGATTTGTTGGACACAGTGGAAGATTAATCGTACAGACTTAACAATTAATTAATTCAATGGTCAAAGTTAAGTAAATGTCAAAATCAGCAGGCGAAAAATTAGTTCAGACATTTTTGTATCGATCTTTTAAGGCTATCAAAAACAATGCTTTTACCAACTAAAATTCAGGTAACAAAAATTTCACGTTTAGTGTTCGTTTTCTAAATATTAATTTTAAAAATGTAATGATTGAACATTGTAACAAATGCAAAATTGAACGACCGATAAATGATAAGAAATCGAACTAAAAAAATATCGAATTTTTATACCACTGATTTCAAAAGTAGTGCAATCATTGAAAAAAAAGCAATGTTTAAACCTACTTACGTATATATATACAACAAAATAATGTAACAATTAAAATATTTCAAGGTGTTTGAAGTATAAAATTGTATTGATTATTAAGGAATAAACAAAAATGTACTAATAATTGAATATAAAGTTCTGTTTGTCTTGCTTTTCTAAATTTTGACTTTAATCCCAAATTCTTTTCGTCCTTTGCAAGTAGGCATAATATAGTTATGAAAAACATATTTATATATGCATATATGTGTGTAGGTTTATTGGTAAAGTGTGTAGCATAGTTTCGAAATTACACTTTTATTTTATTGAATGAAAAATATATAGCCCGACATCAGCGTTGTTTGTAAGGCCTGTGTGTCACTGTATCACAGAATTTTTACCTTACTTCAAGTGTACAAAATGCCATCTATCAACTGGAAGAAAAGAGAAAAAAAAAAAACATTTTTATTCCAAAAAACCTTTTTTTTTATTATTTATTACAAAAACTAAAAATGTACAAAATAAATAAATTTGCAAACATTTATAAACACTAAATTCCTTTTCAATGCATACGTAGGTATTTATATCACACAACTACCAAGACAGTTTAAAGAATTAGTAAAAATATTTGTACAGTTATATCCTTTTTAAACTAATAATTATAAAGTAATAAGTACAAAGCGAAACTTTTTTTTAATAATAAGGAACATTACAACCAGGCAAGCGTGCATAACTTATAAGTGGTTTTTTATGTAAACAATCTTACCTGTATCCGATAATTCTTCGGGCTCACCACCTTCTGGTGTTGTGGATACGATTTGTTCAGCTTCTTCAGGTTTAATGTATCCAGGTGTATCACTATTTGATGTATTAGAGCTGCAAATTTTAAAGTTATTTATTCAATAAATCATTCACAAATCGATAGTAAGTACTTACATTGAAATTTCGCCACCGTCCAATTCTTTTATAATTAAACCTTGCCAAAACTTGTTTGTTTCCTCAATGATATTGTTGGCAAAAGCAGCGCATTTGGCATCTCCATTGAAAGCAAACTTATTTTCGGGCTTGCCATCAGGAATTTTGTAAATCTGCAAGTATAAAGCGAATTAGTATATGTAGCAACATCTAAACCTAGCATAACTTACTTTGAACCACTCAACAGTGGCACGCAATAGTCCTGGAAAATATTTATCAACGTCTCCGATATCATTCATTTTTTCAGCCAATGGATCATTGACATCAATTGTAATAATCTTCCAATCGGTTTCACCTTCATCGATCAACGCAACTGTACCCAATACCTTAACTTGTATTACTTCACCACGTTTTGCAACACGATAACCAATTTCCAAAACGTCAATTGGGTCGTTATCACCTTTACAGCCAGTGGATGGTTCGATATGTCCAGGATTTTCCCATGTTTGTGGGAATGCGCCATAATTCCAAATGTAACCTTTGTGTGGAAAACAGTTGGCTACAAAGCGCAGTTTACCCTTCTTAACATCCTGTTTAATGGGATTCAGTGGGGTCTTTGTGCTAATCTATAATTTCGAAACATAAATTAATTGCTGTCGAAACAAGCTGCACGTAACATATGCTTTAATTAAACCGTCAAAGCAGGGTAATGCACACTTACAAATTACAATTACTGTAGATCATTAATTTTGTTTACCTCCATTTTTGCGTTTGTCCATCTGGGAATTTCCACAACCATGTTAAGGACAGTTTTTGTGTCATTGGCATACAGCGGAATGTCGTGCAAGGGCGAAACGATAGTTCCAGCCGAATTTTCTAAATAAAAAGTAAATTAATAAAAAACATATCTAATATTATCTTTTAAATTTAGATTGGAAAGATTAGTTGAACCAACAGTTGATAAAACAGCCACGCAGCTAACAACTTATTTGCAATTGAGCCAAGTCTTTTCTGTATTAATAGTTACCAAGACTATAAATATAAATTTCGGTTTGGAGGTATTTACTTCGAAGTTGGTACAAATTAGATGCACCCAATGAATATTATTTCACAATGCTATTGAGAACTACTACCGGCTTATCAATATACACATGTATTATATAACAATCCGACTTAATACTATGTTTAAATAAGCAAAGGTCAACTGTTTATAACAATTTATGTTAAAATACATATTTATGTTGTCAATTTATTTACTTAAATAGATGCTGTAATTAGTTGAGTTAGGAGCTCCTTTCTCGATGATAGTATATTCCGACATTTTATAACTGTTTTTGTTCTCTTGGATCTTTTTCGAAATTTGCGAAAATGCTATAGAATGTGAAATTAAACGCTTTTGAAAAGACTGTGAGTAATTTCCAGTTTTTAATGCAGCGAATTTTTGATTTGCCGACGTCAATTGCAACCGCTTTAACACGTGTGTACTTCGACCGAATAACGAAAATTGCGATTGTGTGAATGCCAGTGAACAACAATTTGCCATTGCAGATTTTTGGACCTTACAAAGTGGGGTGCCGTCCTCATCTAATCAGATTTTTTTCGCCGTCATAAAGCGAAAAATAACGGCGGCGCTTCACGCTCTATCACCAGTTCACACACGGACTTTTTTGTCGTCCAAACCGGTTTTGTGTGGGGGAGGGGACGACGAGGAAAGTCGAAGGGATCGTGCCGCTCGTACTCAGGTGGCACGCTTTGTGTTTTTTGTTCATAACAGTTCGCTGCTACCCTTTTCAGCATTCCTTTTCACTTTCAAATTCTTTGAACGGTTACAAGAGCGCTCGGTTTCAAATGAATTCGTTCACAAATTTGAATTCTGTTAATGTTTTTGTATGTAATATGCAAATATGTATACATATAATAATAGAAATATTTTCAAAAATTGTAAATAAGGAGAAAATTAAGATATAGATTATGGAGTAAAGAAATCATGAATTTTTAATACGGAGTAAAGAAATTATGAGTTTTTAATACTTAAAGATTAGGAAATTCCTATTATAAATTTGGACTTGAAAATATTAGTAGCGGAAATTCAATACATTCTTGTGGATTAGGGAATTCCCGTCTTTAGTATTTCTTTGAAACTATTTAGCGGGTAGGTACTTGTATTATGCATATTGTTCTACCATATTCATGGTAATTCATTGCAAGCAAAATGTGTGACTATCATCTCAACATACAAATGAAATACGCAGCACGAGTGTTGCGCAGTGTTGCGCAGTCGAACCGCACAAATATTTACGAAAATTTTGTGAAAAGGAATGCGGAAAAACTAGACTCGAGTTGCTGGACTCTTTTTGACCGTGTGAATGCCCAGAGCGACACCAAAAGAAAATTTGAAAAAACTTTTGAATCCCTGTGTGAAAGTGCACTTTGTGATTTTTGTTCATATCGCTGCTACGCTATTCAGCATTCCCTTTTATTTTGAAATTCTTTCCATGGTTGCAATACAATTATGACAATTATGTTGTCAATAGATATGTTTTTATTTAAAAACGACCAAACTATTTTTTCGTTACATTATTCTATTTATTTCAGTATGATTTTTTACTATAAACTCATAAATTAAGTCTATCTCAGGAATTAACAAAAGTGTTTATGTTTTTGGTTACAATTTACATGCTGTTCTGTGCTTCTTAACTTGAAAAGAATTACGTTGCAAGAAGAAATTTTTGTTGTTTGTGTTGTTACAACTGCATTTCTGCACAACTAGCGGCACTATGATAACAGAGTTTAGTTTTAATTTAACTATACTAATTCATCTATAAATTAAATCAAATGTTATTTGCAAAAACATTTTTACATTTTAATTGGCATCACTTTCATTTTCCACGTCATCCACACTGTCAAATCGGATTGTACAAAGTTGTACCATTTCATCAACGTGCTGTTCGTTCACTGCGTATTTTACACCAATTTAACTAGCAATTTAGATACTTGTACAACGTATTTTAACAAAAAGAAACTTGTCTTTCGTTGACAATTGTTTATTATAATTATCTGTATTGTATTTATTGGTAATTTGGAATTTGGTAACTGACGGTGGCTGCTCACTGCAAACGGATAACAAGCTCTCGATAAGATATTTTTGTGCTATAACACCTGCCCTTCACTCGACTTAAGCAGCTGTTGCTTTATATTTGTCCAAAATGAGTACAGGTGAAAAATCTGCTAATGATTCTGCAAACAATGCAAGCAAACAGCCATCAAGTGAAGAGACGGAACATGATGCTTGTGTACTTTGTTGTAAGGAAGTGGAAATCTACTCCATTGGTGAATGTGATCATCCAATTTGTTATGAGTGCTCCACACGTTTGCGTGTACTTTGCGAGCAGAATGAGTGTCCCATTTGTCGGCAAGTGTTGTCCAAAGTGAGTTTCAGTTGGTGATCAATGTTTTTTTTTTGATTTCTACTGAAAGTTAACTTGCTCTATTATACATTTTTTTTACCAGGTGATTTTCTCCTTTGACAAACTGCCATATCGTGAACTTGAAACCAAAAATCGTTCAGGTTATTATAACAAAAAATATAAAATCGGATTTTATACAGCGAAAATACAACAGGCGTATTTTAATTTATTAGACCATCCGTGCCCGAAGTAAGTTTAAATTTAAATATATTCACATACATATGTATGTATTGTTATAACACATATTTTTATATATCTATAAGTATGTAAATGTATTTAATCTAGTGATGTCAAGGTTATTTAAATATATTGTTCTTATCATATAATATAAAGATGTAATGTGCCGCCCTTCCGGAGATTTAAAGATCTTGAATATCATGTGCGCAAAGAACACGACTTGCATTTCTGTGACCTATGCACTGAACATTTGAAAATATTCACTTTCGAGCGGCGCTGCTACACACAAGCCGAACTAGGTTTACATCGCACGAAAGGTGATCGTGATAACCGTTCACATCGCGGACATCCTCTTTGTGAATTTTGTAAGAAGCGCTATTTGGACCGCGATGAACTGTTTCGTCATAAGCGTCGAGATCATTACTTCTGTCATTTTTGTGATGACGAGTCCAATGACTTTTACAGGTATTCAACATGCAATGATTTGGAAAATATTATTTTACAAAATACTCATATTTGTTACGTCAAAGGGATTATGATGCTCTAGCTAATCATTTTCGAGAGCGTCATTTCCTTTGTGAGGAAGGCCGGTGTG